TATCTTCAGTGAAATGATATCTGTTTTCCTATTTTATGGGACGATTTTACAGAACGTTCCAAAACACTGTGACCAACTATGATTTATTATGTTTATTACAATATGTTTATTATTTGTCAAGCGATTTGTTCTTTGTGCCAAAAGTTTGCCAGTCGATGTTTCCCTTAATTGTTTCATATTCAAGGAAAGTGTATCAAGGAAGCTGAATTTCACTTAAGCGACATGAATTCCTCTTTCCAGATACAACTCCAACAGATTGAATTATCTATTAAATTTATATCGTGCAAAAGTCCTGCAATTTCTTCCGATCTTGCTCATACTCAGCATTTCATATTCATTTACTCTTTGGCGAATAAACATTCAACATTTATTTTACTCGAGCCTGTCCTAATCTTAAATCCCAATATTGACATTGTTCCTATTGCATTTATCTCCCCAAAGTAAGCTTAATGGCACTGCAAGTAATGCCAAATGCTGACCCAGGTTCTAGGAAAACCTTTTCAGATCCCTTTGTTCCAGTTCATATGATTTTTCATTTAAATTCTGCGTCAGACATTACGTACTTCCAATAAAAAATTTGTACCCGGAATACGGTAACAAAAGTTCCACTGTCTCTTTTGGAACCATACGTAAACCTTACAGATACCATTTTTTCCAGTAGGTACATTGTATATTGACTTGCATTATTCGCGATTCTCTATCCATTCAGCTTTCAAAAACATGTGGAAGTTAAATTTTGCAATCATTTGGACATATCTCGTTTCTTGCTTCTTTTTCTATTATATGAAGCAGTAATTCCCTTTTTGCAAAATCGCTTGCCAGAGTTATTGGAAGACGTGCTATTAAATGTTCGGCAAAATATGTGGTTACTGCACGACGGAGCCTCCGCTTACTTTTATCGGACAGTGCGCAACTTTCTAAACATTACTTTTACCGATCGCTGTATAGGACGCGACAGCCTAGTTAGAAAGCCCCTCCGGTCCCCGGACCTCATTCCTTTAAATTTCTTTTTGTGGGGATATGTGAAAAGTGTTGTGTATTCCACGTGGCATCGACCATTTACGACATCGTACTTCCAAAGCTTGTAATACGATTCGAGAGGACGTGGCAATGTTGTAACGCGTGCGAGCGAATTGGATACGTCACGCTGAAGTTTGTGTGCAAGCAAATGGTGGGTACATCGAACATCTTCTATGAAAATAGGCTGCTTGCAATGTTGAGGTAAGTGTATTCACCTCATTTTTACATAACAGACATGTGGCAAAAATATTTGAAATAAGTGCATTGACACCCTGTATAAATATCGAATCAGTATGATATTACGTCAGGTTTCCAATGATTTTCAATTAAATCAATTTAGTAGATCATTCTGATAATAACCAATAGGTGTATAAGATCTATCTTACAGAAAAAGGATGAAAAAAAAATTAATATTTCCTCTGAACAAGTTTAGACAATGAACGTGATAGGTCGAATACTATAATTGAACCATATTCCATTTTATACCTAACAAGAACATAAAACAACGACTGAATGTGCGTACATCCAAAAAGTCGCAGCAGTTGCGAAATATAAAAACATTTGATTTAAAATGAATAGAAAAAGCGTGATAATAAAAGTGAGTTTGCAGTTAAAATATTATAACTCTAATCCTTCAATATTTCCACCCTGTTAATGACATTATTACTAATGTAGTCATAGATCACAAAATTAATTTTGCGGCTATAAGTCATTACGTTACATTTAGATATATTCAATTTTAGATGATTTGTCTCACACTATGAAGACATGCCGATGCAAGAAGCCAATAAATGAAATTAATAGTAGAATTAATTTCAGAATAAAGTTGAAAATTATCAGCAAATAACAAATACTTAATTATATGTTATTTGGGTGCTTTATCGGTGGGGGGGGGGGGTGAAACAAGACATGGGGGCCTACATTTGCAGTGTTAAATAATCATTGCTGTCAATGCAAAGAAAAATATTATTTATGACTAGAAAAGAAAGTAGACTGAGATGCTTGCACCGTTCGTTAAAAACGAAAACAAATCTATAAATAATTCGAGAATAATTCATAGAATTTGATTCCGCATTGCAAAAGTCATAAAGTCCGCATAGTCATGGTAAAAATTTAAATAAAATTTGGGATACGTATGTTAAATGGGATGAGGTAAGCTAAATTTTCAATAGAAAGTATTATCTTTATTATCTTTGGGATTTGACAGAAATAACTAATGACGTCATCAATTATTTTTTCCAGAAACATACCCAATTTTTTTTCCTGTTAAAAAGCTCTCTTTTTTTTCTAATAAACTTTAAATACCGATGATGCCGCACCATACATTTACTCCAAAATGTCCTTGGTTTTGGACTGGATTTACAATGTGGGGATTTTCAATGGACCAGTAGTGTTCGTTGCGCCTCTTTGGCAAACCATTACTGACAAACCGACTTTCGTCCGTCCAAAGAACGTACCGAAAAAGGTTCTGCTCAACATTTTCTACATTTACTGCAATTTGAGCTATAAAAGCTGATTTATCCAAATTTAATTTCCGGCGAGCTTGCCGTATAGAATTTCTTGGATTTTATTCAAAATACTGTAACAGTCTANCATCATCACCATCACCATCACCATCACCATCACCATCGCCATCGCCATCGCCATCGCCATCGCCATCACCATCACCATCACCATCACCATCACGATCACTATCATTATCATTATCATTATCATTATTATTATTATTATTATTATAAGAGAAATATATCAAAAATATTAACAATATACATTTACCTAAATATCTCTCTCTGTGTTTAGGTTTGTGATTTTCTTGTGTTCTATACCGTGGATAGAATTTCTAATAACTGTTTTAGGTAAGAATATATTGTTAATTAATTGTTTGACATGAAAAATAACACTAGAATGCACTATTTTGCGGTTGTAGGATGAATTATTCAAGTTCTTCAGATTCTTCAGATGAAGAATTATTTGAAATTCTGAATAACGTAGAAGTTCATCGCAATTTTCGTGTTAGGGCAAATGCTTTGGAACAGTATGATGAGGAGGAATTCAGAGAACGGTTTCGATTTACCAAGGATACGTTTAACCATATTCTGGAATTAATTAGAGAAGATATCAGTCCTATTACTCATAGAAATCATTCGCTATATGCTGCTGAGCAAGTGTTGATAGCATTAAGATTCTATGCAACAGGTAAAACAAATTAATAGTTCTATTATAAAAACTCGCACCAAGATTTTTAGGATCATTCCAAATATTAATAGGAGATGACTCGAAAGTACACAAATCTACGGTGTGTAGAATTTTGCGAAAAGTAACCTATGAAATAGCTAGCCATGCACCAGACTTTATAAGAATGCCAACTACAGCTCAGGAAATTAGAGATGTCTAATCCAAGTTTTATGATATAAGACAATTTCCTAATGTAATAGGATGTATTGATGGTAGCCAGATTCCAATTCAGTCACCGGGTGGAGATAATGCAGAAACTTTTAGGAACAGAAAGGGTTTCTTTTCTATTAATGTGCAAGCTATCTGTGATGCAAATTTATGTATAAGGAATATAGATGCACGCTGGCCAGGCTCTACCCATGACAGTAAAGTGTTTAATGCTGCACTAATTAGAGCGCAGTTGGATGACGAAGAATTTCAAAATTGTTACCTACTGGGAGATAGCGCTTATCCCTGCAGACCATATTTATTAACACCTCTTTTAAATCCAATTACACTGCAAGAACAAAGATATAATAATGCTCACATTGCCACAAGAAACTGTATTGAACGCACATTTGATGTATGGAAACGAAGATTTGCATGTTTGTCATTGGGACTTCGCACTAAGCTTGATCTTACTCTGCTAATCATAGTCTCAACTACTGTACTTCACAATATAGCAATATTTCAAAATAATATTGATGATTTGGATCTTCCAGTTGTTGATGCACAGGCAGATATCGATGATATTTTTGAAGGCCGAAATGAAGGAGGCAATGCCGTCTGAAGAGCCGTTATAAATTTGTTTAGGGAATTTGAATTAAGTTTTACCATATTAGTGGCTATTTTAGTAATAGTCTTCAGTGACTGACTTTTTGTTTTTTTTTTAATTCTATATAGGGTGTTCCCTAAATACCTACGGCCTGTAACTACAAGATGTAATTCCTTGCGATATTTTAATAAAAACGTTTATATAAGAAGTTTATTTTCCAAGATACGAAGTGTTGAAAATATAAAAAAATTAAACTTGCAAATAAATTTTGAACGATCAGTGCTACGTTCTCAAAATGTTTAGATAATTTACTAACTCAAAATTTTGAGAATGTAGCACAGATCATTCAAGATTTATTTGAAACAATATTTAGTTTTTTGATGATTATATAAAATATCGTAAGGAATTAAACTCTGCAGTAACTAACCGTATTTACGAAACCTCATGCATATGTCTGTATTTAAGTACATCATTCAATTTATATTTTTCATAATACAAATAAACTTTTTTTTATGTCTTATTTTTTCTGTAGTTGTAACATTGATAAAATGTCTACATATAATCAATTTTTAGGTTGCAGCTTGTTTAAAAAATTATTTTTCCTATAATAAAAAGCATATAAATGAAGTTAATGTTATTAGTTATTGCTAAAGTTAGCACATTATGAGAAATTATTGTTCATTTTTTTAAATAGTTTATCTTTCAAAACAAAAAACTTATTTTTATGCCAGATAAATTAAATTCTTCAACATCCAAAAACACAAATCGAAAATGTCATTATTTATCAAAAATGTGTCCAAATTTATGTTAGCCCTTGTATAATATTTTACAATGTAATTAAAGAAGTAAAAAATGTACTTAAAGTTAAATATTCTGCAATTTATAACTAACTTCAGTAACTGTTATTTTCTTAAGAAAAGATAGATCCTACCAAATGTAAATATATTTATTAAAAATACTTGTGAACAGATTTATTTAACAAAGTTAACTATTATTTATTTAAGTTTTCCATATCCGCACTTTCTAAACGTGAATTGTATTCTATAGATTTTAAAGTGTGTTCCCAACTTACTATATCTAACTCTTTATTTTTAATTTCCAATTCAATTTCTTGTAGCTTCTTGTTATGTTTTAGTTCTTGAATTTTGAATTCCAACTCTTTTTCTTTTATCTGTATGTCAATATTTGCTAATTCCAGTTGTTTTTCTTTTATGTTTTTTTTCTACTTCAAGTATTTTTTCTTTTTTCTTGAATATCTACATTTAATCTATCTTTTAAATTTTTTCTATCTACTATCCGCTTTGCAAGTATTTCCATATTTTCAATTTTTCTTTTTTTTGCTGGTGTTCTTTTCAAGTTCCTGGAGGTGGAAGGTGTAACAGTAGAAACGGTCAAAGGTTCTGCGATTTTTTCTATTTTTGAAGCCAACGAAGGTGTAGCAGAATCAAATGTGTGTTCCACAGTTTGCATAAACTCTGAAGATGAAGGATTTAAATCATAGACTGCTGTAAGCTCTACACTATTATGACTGGGTATTTCTTCCTGTATGATTTGTATGATTTCTTCTGTTTCAACTTCATTTGTAGCATCTATATTTGGAGACAAATTCTCTGAAAATAGGGGATAATGGCAATTAGTACAGCTTATGAAATATCTGTATACCATAAATTATGATATATATTGTTTTGCATTTTTGAGATAATTAATAAGTACTTCTGCCAAACTTTGTTCTTTAATCATCCATCTTAATTAAATTTTGATGAAAATAACTGTGCAATATAAATGTGGCTCACTATTAATTGAAATATGATGTATCTTTTTAATTTATACGAGTTTCAGTTTATTTATTTCACACAAATATTACGTAACTTAGGTACCTTTAAAATACGAAGCAGATGAATCAAATGGGTTACAAAGTGGTTCGTACTGGGGCTTTAAAATGGTTAAAACTTTTTTATCTAATTCATCACTTTGTGGAGTGAACGTGCCACCACCAGTTTTATATAAATTTTTCTGAAAAACAAAACCATTATGCGTCAATAGGAATATGTTGAATATTATCTATAATCACAAATTTCTAATATGTTACATACCTTATCATCATGGAGATTTTTTCGTGCCTTTTTCTTTATTGTATCATATAATGCATGCAACTGTTTGGCAGTCCGGGTCCCCGTTTGAGCGTTACTGTTATATTTGCGTGTAATTTCATCCCAACAATCCTTTTTTTGCTTAACAGTTGTCCCATCTGTCTTTTTGTTTTCAATTATGTTTTTGTATTGCATTACCAAATCGAATAGTATGTGTTTCTCCAAATCAGTGAAATTTCGTGATCTTTTCACATCTTCGATTATGCTAAAAAATGTTAAAGAATAATAGTTGGTAAAAAAATCACATGATCAATAATATACGTACCTTTCCATTTTTACTTAAATTTTAAGTTAAGAAAATATAACCTAACCTATGACACAAACATGACACAAAATACAAACTATAACCCTTAATTTGCACGATTGGTTAACTGTGAAGTTAGATGTAAGGGATCTCCAGCCACTGAATAATAGTTATCGATCAGATAACTATCTATTTGCAATTTATCTGTCGGTATTCTTTCAGAAACTCTTTGAAACTTGTCGGTCTGATAACTTTACCAAACTGGCCCTAAGTCATTACGTTACATTTAGATATATTCAATTTTAGATGATTTGTCTCACACTATGAAGACATGCCGATGCAAGAAGCCAATAAATGAAATTTATAGTAGAATTAATTTCAGAATAAAGTTGAAAATTATCAGCAAATAACAAATACTTAATTATATGTTATTTGGGTGCTTTATCGGTGGGGGGGTGAAACAAGACATGGGGGCCTACATTTGCAGTGTTAAATAATCATTGCTGTCAATGCAAAGAAAAATATTATTTATGACTAGAAAAGTAAGTAGACTGAGATGCTTGCACCGTTCGTTAAAAACGAAAACAAATCTATAAATAATTCGAGAATAATTCATAGAATTTGATTCCGCATTGCAAAAATAATATATCTCAATAACATGAAATTGGCTGCATTTTTTTGTAGCACCCAGTTCTCCTTAAATGTAATGACTTCAGGAAAATCGTTAATAAAAAGTAGTCATACTCACAGCATAGTCATGGTAAAAATTTAAATAAAATTTGGGATACGTATGTTAAATAGGATGAGGTAAGCTAAATTTTCAATAGAAAGTATTATCTTTATTATCTATGGGATTTGACAGAAATAACTAATGACGTCATCAATTATATTTTTCCAGAAACATACTCAAATTTTTCCTGCTAAAAAGCTCTATTTTTTTAATACATTTTTATTAGAGAAATTTTTCTGTATTATTTCCCGTTTAAAAAATATATAAGCAATATCGTCCTAAAGAGTCTAAAAAGAAATACAAATATTCGTTGTTTAAAGCGCATAAATTAATTAAGAATAAATGAAAGGATTAAACTCGATAATTATTTAAAACACTTAAAACAAAAGGTGATGATAACATTATTTAGACTTAAAATGAGGCAAACGCTCTCTACTACATACATATTATAGTCTATTCTCCATATGACCTCCTCTCATTTCAAGACACATATCCAATCTTCGCTCGACTTCTTTGCGGGCTGCGGTTATTAACATTTCGCCGTTTAACTCATTACAAGCGTTTGTGATTTTTTTTTTCTTTCATATGAATAATATCTCACGAAGGTGTTTTGTTAACCTTATTTTTTAAAACCCCCCCATAAAAGAAATCGAGAGGTGTTGGATCTGCTGACTTTCCGGGCCACTGAATAGGTCCAGTAAACTCAATCCATTTTTCTCGGAAAGCGTTCTTAGCTGCAAACGCACGTTCTCCAGAAGTGCAAGAAGTTATTGGTTGTAGGAAATTTAGATAACTCACGCTGTTCAATGTATATTCATAAAAATGAAGCTCAATTAAATGCCTACCGATGATGCCGCACCATACATTTACTCCAAAATGACCTTGGCTTTGGACTGGATTTACAATGTGGGGATTTTCAATGAACCAGTAGTGTTCGTTGCGCCTGTTTGGCAAACCGTTACTGACAAACCGACTTTCGTCCGTCCAAAGAACGTAGATACCGAAAAAGGTTATAATCAACAGTTTACTACAATTTGAGCTATAAAATTAAGTCTGTTTTCAATGTGACCTTCAGGCAATTACTCCAAATTGTGAATTTTGTAGTCATGATGTTGAACGGTTAATTCCCGGCTAGCCTGCCGTATAGAATTTCATGGATTTTGTTCGCAATAATGTAACAGTCTAGCCGTATTAATATTGTTTTTTACCCTTTGGTGAATTATTTGATTTTTCCGAACAGAAAATGCATATTCATTTCGTCACAAGGTCGCCTCCAATCTTGTAAAGGTTCTATGATGAGGAATGAGGCGCTCTGGATACCTTTCTCGATATAACTCTACAGCTTTTCTTGAATTTTTTTGTGACTTTGTAACCGTAAATTAGCAACATATCAACTTTTTCTGAATGAGAAAACATTTTGTAAGCACAAAAGTTATACGTTTGACGTTCGTATTGAGAAATGACAAGTATTTTGTGACATTTATGCACTTTAAACAACGAACATTCAATTATTTTCCAACGACTACTTGATGCTTCCACCGCTAATGTGAATTTTAGGTGGTATTTCTTTTGAGCCTCTTTAGGACGATATTGCTTATAACTTTTAAACGGGAAGTAATACAGAAAAATTTCCCTAATAAGAGTTTATAAGAAAAAAGACAGTTTTTTAACAGGAAAAAAAATGGGTATATTTCTGGGAAAAATATAATTGATGACATCATTAGTCGTTTCTGTTAAATCCCAAAGATAATACTCTCTATTGAAAATGGAGCTTATCTCATTCCATTTAACACCACCAAATTTTATTTAAATTTGTGGTATCCTCACAGTAAGCCCATACTATCGAGTTTGAGACACCATGTACAACTATTTTTTCTAAAACTCACATTTTTGTTGTTAATTAATTTAATGATTCATATAGACTTGCAAATCCGCCACGAATGGTATACACTAAGAACAGAATCATAGTTGAGGTGTCTATCATCAGACTTTTTTATTTTATACCTATCGATTTTTTTTTTAAATAAGCGCATTAATTGTCTAAAAATTTCAATAAAAATATCATTAAAATCAGTTAGTTTTTTGTAATTAAACACAGTGTGATATTTAGAGAAAAAAATTATCCATAAAAACTTCTGCAATTCAACTAAAAGAAAGTGGTTTTATTTCCATATTCCAGTCTCCGAGTTTATAATTATACCGAATGAAATTTCAATGAAACCGATGAATTGAGAAAACGGTCGCAATAGAGTTCAAAGCAAGGGGTTTTCCACCGGCAAAAGAGTGGAGAGTCGATGTTAAAAGGCAAACAATTCCGAGGGAATATAATTGTTTTTTGTAATTGGTGCCGCGATCAGGTTCTTTTGTCAAACGTTATATAAATTGAATTTATTTGGGGCATCGACTGCTTCCCCTGTAATTTTTCGACTATATGGACTTTAAAAGGAGAATAATAAGCACATGATTTTCTATTGTCCTCGTTAACAAAGGGTATATTTTACATATTCCTAATTTGTAGCTTTATGAAGTATGTACATTCAAAACAATATCGAATTCACTCAATACAATATTATACGCCCAGGCTTGTTTTATCTCAATAACATCACAATAACAAATCAAACCGGATATTGTGTATGTTTTTCATTTATATCGACAGAGGAGTATTTACTTTGTGTCCGTGAGTCTTAATATGTCAACTCACCAAAGCTTTACTATCTATATAGGGTGAATCATTAATAATGGTACACAGCTTAATGGCAGATTGTTAACGTCAAAATATAGCGAATAAGCCAAACATGCCTTAATCAATTGTTACTCCTTTTCATTCTACAGGGTGTTAAAGTGGAAGTAATATTTCCGATTGATTTGAAAATTTGTAGTTCTACGTTTTTTGAGGTGGCAAATATGAATATGCAGTATTGGGGTCACGTCTAAGGGGCGCCAGTTATACTGTTCTATCAATGTAAAAATATGTATCTATATCTAACTTTTTGTATTTTCAATTTTGAATTTTTTAACTAGAAATTATTGAACTACGTTCAATTCTAAATAAAAAAGGTATACTTATTACAAATCGATAAACTTAACCGTTTTCGAGACACAGACATTTTAAGTTTTTGAGATTCAGAGGGAATTAAATTAAAAAATTATTTTTTCCAAAGTAGTAGGCATTATAATAAATTAGCAGCACATTATACCCGAGAAGTAAGAGAATATCTTGATAGAAATTTCCCGTACCGTTGGATTGGACGCGGTAGCGAAGTACCTTGGCCTACATGTTGCCCTGCAGACATTAGTAAATCTAAATTATATAATTAATAAACATATATACAAAATTGAGAAAACGTTAATAAATTTTCAAAAAAATAAAATATTTACATTAATTCCATAATCATTCGGTACTTTAAATTTTATATAATTGAAAATGTTTTAATAAAATGTATTACATTTATGTTTATTATTCATATAGCTCTTGGCTCGTAGTTGTGTAAAAGCAACGGATATTTTTTTACTTTGACCATAATTAATGAACTATAGAAATATAATATCAAAAACATTTATCTGTTCATAAAGCCAATTTTGACGACTGTTTTTATGAAACAATATTTGTAAAGCAGTATTTTGACAAGACTAAATTTTTCATAACGTTATCATATAGCCTCCTCCATACGACAATCCCATATCTTATTATTGTTGACTCCACCAATGAGTGATACATAATTTTTAAATTTTTACCTTGTACCCAATACATTACTTAAGGTTGGGGTTTTATAGACAAGAAATCGTACTTCTAGTTTTTACTAGAAGTACGATCAATAATAGAACAAGTAGATCTATCCAGGAAGTGACGAACCTAACGCTAAACTAGAACTTCCTTTAATTCTTCGCAATCAAAGATCACGGAGAACACGTAAATATTAGAAAATACCTTTTCTGTTTTATCCAGTAAAGTAAAGATACTTAATAACTGTGATTAATGCATGTGTTAATATTTTCAAAAAAGCATTCTAGGATTGTGATTATGTTTATAGTACGATTTTTTGTATATTCAACAATCGTGCAATATTTAGGACACATAAGATAAATATACGATGTAAAAATATGCTTTTTTCCATATTTTGAATGTATTGTCAGTTGTCTTATACCCTGAAAAAAACTTGTATAACTGGTACAGTGAAGAGATATTGTTTCTAACATGCTTAGATTTTCTAAAATACTGGACAATATATTACGCATATAACCGCCCCTCTTAAGAGATATTTATAAAATAGTTTACCAATTTTTTTACATCGTAAAATT